AGAACCATGGCCTGAGATCCGCTCAGCCAAGGGCCAACGGCATCTGTATTTGAAAATGTATCAATTTATATTTAATTTAATGACAATCTAACCTGAAACAACAAATCTAAGCCAGCCTGGTCCAACCTAATCTGACCTAGTCTATAAATTTCCCAATCGATCTATCTGTCGGGGATATCCCAAGAGAAAAATGATATCAGAATCTAAGCCAGCTCCCTTGAGTTTCATTGATTGTTTTGGAATTTTTGGATGGCAAGAAAATGTGATCCCATCTGAATTGAAGTAGAATCATGGGTTTTGTTATCCCCGGAGATGAGTTGCACCCCTTAAACAATGGGAAACTGTTCATCAACGCCACCTGGTCAATTCTATGGACCAATTTCTTGCGAGGAAAAACCATGAAAAAAACACAAGTGGGTAGCATGCCGTGATATATGGTGATAAATATACATATATATATATAATAAAATATGGATATATTTAAATTGAATGAATATATATATATATTATATTTAAATTATATGAATTGCAATGATGGATCTCAATCTTCAGCAGCCATTCCGGGAACCCATGTTCCCACGGAGTTGATAAGAGGCGCGTCGAGGGGCGTCTCCAGTGATGAAACATTTGGAAAGAAATGGTTTGGTAAAATCACCAAAGACTGTCTAGACTCATTTTTTGATGATTTTGATGATCTGGAAAATGCTTTGGTTGTCAAACTCTCAACGTTTTTTTTTTGAGGCGATTTCTCTCTCTCCATCGCCATCTGTCAAGACTGTCAGCGGCAGTGGCATGTAGGCAACCCATTCGGTAGCCATCTGTAAAACATGGGCCCAGCGGCCCAGCGGTTGCGCACTTGTGATGCCCGGTGCTTGGCCGACCAGGTGGTGACCAGTACTGAGTCACCTTCCTGGAAAATTCAAACGCAACAATATGGATATGGGGCATACCCTCCGGTAGTTTAACATAGCTATTGAAAATGGCCATTTATAGTGGATTTACCCATTGAAAATGGTGATTTTCCATACTTATGTTAGTTTACCAGAGGGAATTTATAAAAATGTCCCCTATAACAATAAAAAATGCCCCCAGCCAACATCCCATCTGTGAGTTGTCGGGTTCGCTCCGACTGGTCTCATCCCAGAGAGAGGAGTGGGATGCCATGGCCACCAGTCACTGGGAGATCGGCCCCAGTCATTGCACCTAGCCACTCTGGCATCGTTCTACCATGTTCTACTCATATTGGATCACATTGATTTATGTATAGTTAGTAATCCCTTTTGAAAATGGTATGACCTCCACTCTCTGTCACTATCCCAACCACATCGAACCATATCTAACCATCATGTCTGGTCAAAATCCAGATTTCTGGGGTGAAAATCCACAATGTGTTTTGTCAAATTACAATTTTTCATGCTGAAATCCACATCTCCTCATCTTTGATTTTTTTTAAACCTACATATTTTTTCATGGTGAAATCATGTGAGATCCTCATTTTTACCCGTAAAAAAAAACACATGCCAAATCCACGATTTTTGACAGGTCATGTGCCCCACCTGACGTCTTCCCATCCAAAAGCAGCGCTACGGAGGCATAAACATCGCTGGCGTGGACGATAGCACCACTGGGGTGAACCAAGGGCGAGGCCAAGGTCGATTCCACGTCTGGATGTTGCTGCAAGTATCCGTCCAACGACTCGCTCGGCCTAGAAATATGGAGATCAATCATTTCAAGTCATGTGTTTAATAAAAAATGCAAAATATATGATGTATTGAAATCAAATATAATACAAAATAGCACACGGTATCCAAAAATAGAACGTAATTTTAAAAGAACAAAAAAACTATGCTATGAGTAACACATAGTACGGTATATTTGGCAAAGAATAATATAATACAATCTACCAAAGATAGTATGATACAATATGTATATGTATAATATAGTAATCTAGTATATATGTATATTACATTAAAAAAACTATGATACAATGAACAAATTAAATAGATTCAATATAATTATATAATAGAAAATATGTGATAAACAAAATACAAAAGTAAAATAATATTAAAGAAAAACATAAAAGACATATATTATCTAAGTTATTTCTTCCGGATTCGGGCACGAATCACCTTCACTGCGTAAAAAACAGGACTCCGCCTCTAAAGTTCAATGGTTCCAACAAACGTCGAACATGAGCGAAGAAGATTGTAATCAATTTCGATCAAAATCTTGTAAACGTTGCCAGCACGCCATACCCTGCATGGTTCCTTTATTTGGTCAACGCAGACTCCATGGCCCATGTCCCAGCTGCTGCTAGCGCGGATCCACCGCCAGAGCTTCGTGAAAACTAAAAACGAAGACATAAAGAAATATACAAACTAAACTTTGGGATAGTAAAAAAAAACTATAATTGTAGAATATTGTAATTATATATATATATTAAAAATTGCAAATATCGTAGAATATTAAAAAAAACACCAATAATAACATATAATAAAAAATGAAACAAAATAACAATATACAGTTAAAAAAGAAAAACTATAATAAACAAATACAACAGTATGATACAATAAAAATACATAATATTATAGCACAAGAAACATATAATAATAGAAAAATATAATATAATACATATGATAAAAACATAGTAAAATAAAAATCACAAATATATATTATACTGTATTAAAAAAAACAAAAACATAATTAAAATATAGTACGGTACAAGTAAATAATAAACATAAAATATTGAACTACCATATATCATAAAATAGAAATAACAATATGTAAGCGAATGAACAAACAAATAATATATATGGACTATAGTATATGATATATCATACATATATATAGTAACATATTAGTATTAGTAAAATGAAATATAATAAAATACAATGCAATATAGCATATTTTTTTAATATAAGAGAAGGTAATATACTTCATCAAGCTAAAATACTATAATAACATTAAATCATAAAAACATGTAGTATGAAATAATATGATATACTGTAAAATAATATAATATGATATTATACAAGATATATATATAGCTCTCTCCATCGCCTTCTGGCAGAGTTCAGCTAAGCTAAATTTTACTAAAGGCTGATGTTATATTATATATTATGTGTAATATCATGTCGTTGCATATGTGAGGACAATTTCATCGGAATCTTCAGGAGAAAATATGGACGTTGAAGCAACAGAAAAGCGGCCAAAAAAACCGGCCCAGAAAACGTTGAAGGGAAACCATGAGGCGTATATATATATATATATAAAATATAATGGGACATGGTTGAAATATATAGGAATAGGAATAATAACTACCATATTTAATATATCGGGGGGTATTCCTATATTGTTGAAAATACAACCCCATGAATATTTATTCATATAGGAATACGCCCTGATGGTGTCACCGCATCTCACAGCCGGTTGGGATCATCTTTCCAGGATGGAATGCGCCCAACAACAATCAATGCGGTTTAGCATGGTGAACGGTTAATCAATAGTAACCAATCAACAATCCCCAACAGTGATTACCATAAATATATACAAATTGGATCAAATTGGTGGGTTTAGGGCTTTGGCCTGCGTTCAAAAGAAAGAAAAAAAACACAAAACATGGCCGAAACATGCTGAAACGAAGGCCCTGGCACCGGCAAAAGCCCGGGCTCACCGAGTTGACCCTGACCCCAGATGCAGCCGCTTCCGCCGCGGCGGAGTTTTGCAGTGCCAGCAGGGCATGTTTGGAGGCACAGTAGGCAGCTTGTAGGGGCATGATGAGCTTGGCAAACATGGACAAGTTATTGACCTCATTGGGACTGGATCTTCTTGGATCATTTTGGCACTTTGATATGGTGAATATGATGAAATATGATGAATTCTATATTATATTGCGCAATCACCCCAGGAAAAATGAGGCGCTTGAAATTGCTTGAAATGTGATGCATATTAAAACACGTGTGGGTTCCTCCGTCTTTGATGTTGATCCGTTCCCACGCGGAAGAAACACCAACGTGCCAAAAGGTTGCTGGACCAACCTGAGCCGCAATGGATCCAAATTTCTGTTGGGTCATGATCTCCAGCTCTGCCTTCATACAGTGGTAGGTCCCATAGAAATTCAGCTCAAAGATTCCTCGGCAAAGAGATCCAAACAGTCCGCAGGGGGGTTCCTGCAAAGAATCCAAAACCAAGGAACATCTTCCAAACCCTCTCTAGTCCCAACCAAAAACGACAAACACCCTAATCAAATTGTGTTCGAAAATCATCATTCATGTAAGAAATTGCAAGATGTTGCAGGTATTGTCTTCGTCGTAAAAGGTGTAAAATATTGTAAGGGGCATATTTGAAGAAAACCTGCGGAAGCAAGGCCCTGAACACATATAATATAAAAATAAAGGGTTCTAGTATCACAAAGGCATGTTCCGAAGTCTGGAGAATAATGTGGTAAACCCAACCAACAAATATAGAATGGAGAAACCGCGGTTGCTATGCATTAATTACATGGCAAACAAAAATACAACAAAAACAAATGCACAATCTACACACACACATACACACACACATATATATATATATAACATTTAATAACAACCCCTAAAGGAAATTTAGATAAGGTTGCTTAGTGTTTCATATATAATTGACCACATCCAGCTAGAATCATGATCCACCCAGTCCGAGACTCGCTTGAACTCAGCTGTCTCCAACTCTAACAGTGTGCCACTCTGACCTGCACCCCCAGCCTTAGTGCTGCACTGCCACTGGGGTTAATAGCAGCTGAGGGTTGCCTGCTGTTCCCAACTTCAAAACATGGCCACATCATGCCACATCACCAGGTGAAAAACAAATCGTCAATCAGAATTACTGATAAAAGTTTTCGTACAAGAAGAGACACACAGAATTATCATGAATTACCCGGTCTCAAAGACCCTTCAGCATGTCTCTCTATCTGTTTCTCCCATTGTGCGATTCTTGGCTAAAGCAACGTTGTTGAAGGCTCCGTCTAAACGTCCGTGTGTGGCAACAATTTCCTGTAGAACTCGCCTTCCGGGCACGTCTTGGGTCATTGACAGTGACATCAGTGATGTTGTTTATGCATTTGGAGGTTTCCGTAAATGGAGGTACCCCAAAATGGATGGTTTATAATGGACAATCCAAATCGAAGGAAGTTTAGAAGTCAAACTTCCGACAATATGGACAGATGAAAACCAGAGATGGGAAGAGTCAGAGAGAAGAGAAGAGTAGAAGAGCAGAAGAGCAGAAGAGAGAAGATCAGAGAAGAAGATGCAGGTGCGCGAAAAGGTAGGAAAGTCGCGAAACAGTGCGTTTTTCCAATGATTTGTGGCTCCGGAGGGTCGACAAGTAGGCTCGCTAAAGCGGCGGGTGCGGAGCCATCTGGCCAGATGAGAGATGAAAAATTGCACGCCGTTGTGGCGCGAAGCACATTTCCAAGTCAAAATGTACAAAACACCTGGTGCTCGGAGCACTTTTGGAAGTTGAGATGTCGAAAAAGTGCACGCCGTTGTGGCGCAAAGCACATTTCCAAGTCAAAATGTTAAAGACACACCAGGTCCGGACCACTTTTGGCAGTTGAGATGTCGAAAAAGTGCACGCCGTTGTGGCGCGAAGCACATTTCGAAGTCAAAATGTACAAAATACACCAGGTGCGGACCACTTTTAGCAGTTGAGATGTCGAAAAAGTGCATGCGGTTGTGGCGCGAAGCACATTTCCAAGTCAAAATGTTAAAAACACCCGGGGTTCGGACGACTTTTGAAGGTTCAGATGTCGAAAAAGTGCACGCGGTTGTGGCACGAGCACATTTCCAAGTCAAAATGTTAAAAACACCCGGGGTTCGGAGGTTCAGATGTCGTTTCCCGTGGCAGGCGCAAAGGATTGTGCACCTTGTCAAAAGTGAGCCAAACGTGACGGTTTTGTAGCATTTTCAACTACAACTACACCACACTACACACCAATACACTTCACTACAACTACAAATTCACTACATTCCACTACACTGCGCTACACCACACTCCACTACATTCCACTACACTACACTAAACTACACTTAACACTCAATTACACTCAATTACGCTACACTACACTATACTACACTACCCCACACTGCACTACACTCCACTGCACTACACTACATTACAATACACTACACTTCACTACACTACACTACAACTACACTACACTACATTCCACTACTACACTACACTCCACTACACTACACTCAATTACACTACACTACACTACATTACATTCCACTACGCTACACGGCACTACACTACACTAACTACAACAACAACAACAACTATAACTACAACAATACTACATTCACACTACGCTACACTACACTACACTAATTGCACTACACTAACTACAACTACACTACACTGAATGACGCTGCACTAACCTACAACTGCAACTGCAACTGCAACTGCAACTACACTACATTACACTACACTAATGACAGCACACTACAATACACTACATTACACTGCATCACACTAACTACGACTACATAAGACTACGCTACTCTACACTACACTAATTGCATTACACTACACTGCACTACATTACACCCCACTCCACTCCATTACACCACACTACACCTCACTACATTACACTCCACCACACTACAGTACACTACACTCAATTACACTACACTACACTACACCATGCGACACTACACTACACTACACCATGCGACACTACACTACACTAAATACAACTACAACTACAACTACAACTACAGCTACAACAACAACTACAACTATCACTACAACTACAACTACAACTACAATTCAAAACACTACACTACAACTACACTAATTGCATTACACTACACCACACCACACTACACTCAATTACATTACACTACGCTACCCTACCCCACATTGCATTACATTACATTACATTACATTATGTTACATTACATTACATTACATTACATTACAACGCACCCATTACACCACCACAACTGCAACTGCAACTACACTACAGTAATTACACTAGACCACAACTATAACTCCACTACACTACAACTATAACTACAGCTGCACTACACCACACTACATCCAGCAGTTGTGGGTGAGGTGACGGACCAGGTGACCACTGCAACCGTTGCAGCCACTCCAAAAAACACAGCTCCAACCACCTTTCGGTCCATCAGTGGATTCGCTCTGCCATCCGTGATTCACAACAGCCAACCTCTCCTATAGGTTTCCTATTTTTGAAACTTCCGCCACCGCCTTGTGCGGCACTACTGGTATTAATGGATGATTTCCCGGTACCCGAATCTTGGGTTCTTCTCAGTGAATTGCAACATATGGCTTAGAGTGCCACTGAAGCATTAAGAAGCTGGAGCTATTTAGCATTCTAATCCCATTCTTCTTGGGCACCGAGCAATCTTAGGCAAATCAATCCCAATTTTTCCGCAAAGGATTCAAGTATACCAACTATATACTACCCTTTCACCAGTGTTTTCCTTTAGCATTCATCATCATTTGGATCCTTAGCTACCCATGGCTACTCGGGAATATGGATACTTCATGATACTTCACCAAAGCTCCAAGCGGCCTCACGGACTCAAAATCCAGCACATCAAGCGCGACAGTGCTGGCCAAACCATGTCCTGCTTCGATGGTGTGCTGAATCGCTTGCAGCTTCTCTAAACGGCGCGCGGCTAAGATCACATGGGCCCCGTCAAGGGCCAGTTCCTACACAGGGAAACTGCAGAAACGCCTGGGTCCCCCATTTTGGGGACGCTGGTGGCCCAGTCTCTACAAAGCCTGGAAAAAAGGTGCATGCTAGAAAATTGAGAATCATAGGGTGGCTCATAGGTGCAGATGGCCCGAATCAAAGCTGGGAAGACCGTTTGGAACACCAGCTGTCTCGAATGTGTTGGACCTCTTAAAGAGGGACACTTTCAGGATCTTTCAGGCACCTAATCTATTCGGAATATGAGGTGCATGCACTGCATATGTGAGCAAATATGGTCAGCACTTGCTGGCTATCCAGGATCGAATCTATTTCAATTCAAGTACTTAAGCTCCTGGAAGGGGAAAATGCTATTTATTTTGCGCATGATCAAGGATCCCAACCCCTTTTTCAAAAAAACAAAACCATGGCTTTGCCTGAAAATAGTGCATCCCTAATTCCAATGGATGTTTCTATAGATAAAAATTGTCATTTAGAGGGCATACCCAAAATTAAGACATGCTGTGATCTACCCCGCATGCCTTGGCTACGAACTCACCAATGCCCGAGCTCGCACCCGTCACCAAAATCACTTTTCCAGCAAACCTCTTGGATGATGACATCGGTGCTGCGCTAAGCGCGTGCTGTTACCAGCACTTGTGAAAGGATCGAGATTTAAAATTGTACGTGGATCATCGTGAATCCATTCCAACTCTTTCCATACACTCTCAACTGTCAACCCATACCACCCACTACCAGAGGAACCGTATTCTCCCTCCAGAGCTACTCGTAGAGACCAAAAAGTAGACTTTGTCTTTCATTCCCACCTGACCCTTGAGCCGTACACACTGCGGTCTGGGGATCCTGCCGCCAAACGCCATTGGAAAATTTTATCTCTACAGGACTCTAGGTTCTAGACTCTCGACACTCTCGACCTTCTACCTGGAATGCAATAGGGGCTTATTATACAGCATTCCATGTCAATTCCATGTCAATTTCCATTACCACATAAAACATTGGTTGTGTTTCATGACTCGAGCCGAGTCATCCCAATATATCCCAATATGGGGAGGGTCCAACCAAGGCCGCGTCCGTCACCAAGTCACAGTGAAGAGATGTCGATAGCGACCAATGCGGATGTAGTCTTTCACCAGGGCGATCTGATGGATTTCATGTGTCATGGCGAAACTGTGCTATCCAAAATAGCCAAATATAGACACTGAATAGGTAAACCTCAACGAGTAGCCAAAAATACAACACAATCAAACCCAAGTTTGCCCCTGGATTGTGTGTTTTTTTTTTCTGTGACTGGTTGATGCTGCTAGGATTGGGCTTAACCGAGGGCTGCACCGATGGACGGCCCTCGAACTCGTCTTCGCGCAGAGACTCGGCGGACCTGGGCAGGACAGGTCTCTGACAGAGTACGAATTTCACGAACAAATAAAGTTTAAGTTCAAAGTATACAGTAACAAAATATAACATGATATAACTGTCCTTTCAAGAAAAACGCGCGTGAAAATCGTTCAAGGAACAAAACATGTAGTTTTAAAACATTCATACATATATTCCTTTTTGGCCATAAGCGAAGGCAAATGGACAATGGTTGAAAATGCGAAACATTAAAAAAAATGAGAGAATTGGACTCCCATTTTTAAAGTTCTGTGTTCGTCCGGAAAAAAAAACACGGACATTATTCAACTTTTGTTGTTGTTCTGAGTAGGCCTAGGCTGCAGAAAAACAGCCTAAGAAGAGCAACCACGCTAAGCAAGGATGAACCATTCTCTGGTTGGTTTCCATTGGTTCTAGTGCAGGGGCACAATTTTCAACGGCACTGCGCCACTTTTTGGGTGTAAAGCTCCGACGCGAATCCACATGAATCAAGCATCTTTTCCTCCTCCTGCCAGGTGAGAGTCTCTAGATTTAAAAAGGTACAACTCCTCGTTCTCTTCCTCCTTCCTCTTCTTCCTCTGCTCGTGCTCCTTCTTCGTCCTCGTCCACCTTCTCCGTCGAGCCATGATCGCCAGCTCCGGATGCTGTGGGCCACGCCTGGACCTGAACACATGCCAAAGAGAATGCCAGACACAATGCCAGAAAGAATCTCAGATAGAATGCCAGAAAAAATGCCAGATGGAATGTCAGAACATATGACAGGTAGAGTGTCAGCATAGATGCCAAATAGAATGCCAGGTAAAATGTTAGAACGTATGTCAGATAGAATGTCAGAAAAGATGCCAGATAGAATGTCAAAATGTGGGTCAGATAGAATGCTAAAAAGGATGCCAAATAGAATAAATGTCAGAACATGTGCCAGATAGAAATCCAGAAAGAATGTGGGGGGTTGTAAAAACCCCGAGACCTTTCAAATGGTTTTTCCAGACGTTATGGTGTTTTTTCCTCTTATCGTTTTTCCAAGCGCTGGCTTCACACCTTGATCAAAGAATTCACATGAGCGAGGAGAGGGAAAAGAAAAAGGTTCAGTAAAGGAAGGGAAAGGAAAGAATAGGAAAGCAAAAGGAAAGGGAAAGGAAAAGGAAAGGGGAAAAAAAGAAAGCAAAAGGAAAAGGAAAGGAAAACGAAAGAACGCAAAAGGAAACGAAAAAGGAAAGGAAAAAGGACAGGAAAAAGGAAAGGAGAAGGAAAAGGAAGAGTAAAGGAAGAGACAGGAAAAAGGAAAGGAAAGGAAGAGGAAAGGGAGAGGAAAGGGAAAGGAGAGGGAAAGGGAAGGGAGAGGAAAGGGAGAGGAAAAGGAAAAAAAAGGCAGTGTCTCACACGGCCCTTTTTTGATGCCAAAAGTCATCGTTTTCGTTATCGTTTTGTTATCGTTCGTGAATCCTGTATGTGTGTGTATGTGTTCCTTTTTTTTTGCAATCATCAAAAAAGGAATCTAGCGACCACCTACGACAACAAACAATGACAGGAAGAGACCAAAAGCACTAAATAGCAGCAGAATGATGGAAAAACCAAGAACTTTGGATTTCAAGAGTCTGGACACAGATTATTGATATAACCAACGTTATCGTTTTTTCCTCTTATCGTTTTTTCGAGTAAAATCTAAAAATTGCTCATGGGGGATCATGGAAGACTAAATGAATATATAGGCGCGGGGTTTTTACAAACTCCCATGTCAGAACATATGTCAGATAGAATGCCAGAAAGAATGTCAGATTATATGTCAGATAGACTGCCAGATGGAATGTCAGAATATATGTCAGATAGACTGCCAGAAAGAATTTCAGAATATATGTCAAATAGACTGCCGGAAAGAATGCCAGAATGGATGCCAGGTAGACTGTCAGAAAGAATGTCAGAATATATCGGATAGACTGCCAGAAAGAATGTCAGAATGGATGCCAAATAGAACGTCGAAATAACATGTCAAGGTGGAGATCACTCGAAGTAAAGTAATTCTCCCCATCCAGGGCCATGCTTGACATTCTGAATACCCTCTGGTAGTCAAGCATGGCAATGGAAAATCCCCCCGATTTGCCAAGATATATGGGTAACCTTTATATATATATATATCTAATGATATAGCTAGGAACCTATGGAAAATGTGCTGTGTATATAACCATCTAAAGATAATGTATAATCATATATATGTATAATAAACATATCTAATCTAATCTAATCGAATCTAACCTAACCTATCCCATCCCATCCCATCCCATCCCATCTATCTATCTATCTATCTATCTTTCTTTCTTTCTTTCTTTCTTTCTTATCTATCTATCTTATGATGTGATATTGTGAATGAAACCAATCTAATTCATTTGTAGACAATCTATATCTATACTTTATTATCTCATATTATCATATATTATCTCTCCCTCTCTCTCCCTATGTAAATGTATATTATCTATAGTTATAGTATGTTATAGTTACAGTGTGTAACAATAGGAAAACTGGAAAACTGTAGCTCTGCCACCAAGCATCTGTGGCTCCTTTCGCCAGTTGGCCGCTGGAGTCTTGGCGAATCTTGGTGGCACAAAGGAGTTCGCCAAGACTCCGAACGGTTGGGAGGGGAAAAGCTGCGGAAACCAATGGGTTTTGTCCATGGTTTTTACAAGTTTCTACCATCAAATCTTGGGGGTTCCTGTTCGGTTTTTGGAATTGTTGTTCCTGTTCGATCAATTCTATGATAAATGCTCTGCTCTCTCTCCTCTCTCTCAGACTCTCTCCTCGCTCTCTCTTTTTTGTCGCGCACATTCTGAGAGCGGCAGGATTGAGGATTACATACCGGTACAATTGCGATTCAGCCATGTGTAACTGTGAAAAAACTTGCTGACCCGCAGCACTGGATTACCTCGCGCGGCTACACCTTCGCTGAAGGTACGCCCGGAGTCATCCCTGGTGATCAAAAGCCAAAGTGACTGGGTGTCCTCCGCATCGGCAAAGCTTTCGCCCTCTTTGCTGCTCAACAACTTCTGGTAAGCCTGACGGGGGGACACAAAGCATTGCATGGGATTTGTATAGAATGGATATTCTTTTGATATCTTTTGATAATGTTTATTTTTTATAGATATGTTTGATATATTTTCGTATCGGGCGTAGATGCATCTGAGTAAACCATGTCATTCCCAACAGAATCGGAACCAGTTTTGTTCGCGGTCAATCAACCTCCCCTTGAGATCCCTTGGGTCGGAGATTGAAATGCTTTAAGCTAGCTGCTGGGTTAGCCAACCTCAAAGTGAAAAAAAACAACATGTTCAGATTTGATGTTACCGGGGGTTGTCTGACCACCCAGCCAATCATCTTTTCCCGATACGAAAATACCATTGTTTAAGGTTTACCCATGCTCAAACACACATACATACATACATACATACATACATACATACATTACTTCCTTAACATACATACATACATACAACATTACATACATACATACATACATTACATACACTACATACATTACATACATTACATACATTACATCATTACATACATTACATACATTACATACATTACATACATTACATACATACATACATACATACATACATTACATACATTACATACATTACATACATTACATACATTACATACATTACATACATTACATACATTACATACATTACATACATTACATACATTACATACATTACCTACATTACATACATTACATACATTACATACATTACATACATTACATACATTACATCCATTACATACATTACATCCATTACATCCATTACATCCATTACATCCATTACATCCATTACATACATTACATACATTACATACATTACATACATTACATACATTACATACATAACATACAATACATACATTACATACATTACATACATTACATACATTACATACATTACATACATTACATACATTACATACATTACATACATTACATACATTACATACATTACATACATTACATACATAACAAACATTACATACATTACATACATTACATACATTACATACATTACATACATTACATACATTACATACATTACATACATTACATACATTCATACATTGCATACATCATACATACATACATACATACATACATACATACATACATACATACATACATACATACATACATACATACATACATACATACATACATACATACATACATAGTAATAGTACATTGGGGTATAGTAATCTCCGTTCAAGGATGGACCATCCCCTTTGTAAATCATATGTTGACCATGGCACACCTGGTTTTCCTGCGGAAAAAAGGCTTCACTTCACTGATCTTCACTGTCAGCTCCCCTGCGGGCCTCGCTGGTCAGAACCTCAGAGTGAAGCCGTTGATGGGATTTGTCAATTAACCAACGTTTTTTTTTTGGGGGGGGGGGCGAAGTTGAAGAAATCACAAGTGTTGTTTTTTCCTCCAGTGGATTTGTTTTGTTTTGGGTGGGAATCCAAGAAATCACAGGTAGTTTTCTTCCGATCACAGATTTGGTAGAGTTCCAAATTGTAAATTGATCATGGTCCCTGAAACTTCCTCTGGGGATTGGAGCAAGAGGCGGCTGGGTATGAGAAGATCTTGCATAGGGACCACTTTTTGAAGTCGTTGTGAATCTACAAAAACTGGTTGGTGGTTTCAACCCATCTGATTATTCCCAATATGTGGAAAAATAAAAACCATGCTCCAAACCACCAACCAGAAAATCTTCGGACTCCAGTTTGGCCAACTCTCATGACACCAAAAAGTGAACCCCTGGAGCCCAGGCCACATCAGGCGTCCCCTGCAGGATCACCTTGCGAAGTTCAAACGGGATCCAATTTATCCCAGGATCTGTGGGGGTGATGTGCAATCATGTAGAAAAACATTCAAAACCCAAGAGTTATGGCTGATCCAAGCTATGAAAAATAAGGAATTTCCAGGATGTCAACCAAGAATTCGGTGAGCTCTAGGATTTCAAATCTTGTGGGTTTAGGCTTTGACTTGAGGCATCATGGACTGCAGCGTTCTGAACCCCAAGGAGTTCCAGTTGTGTGGCCATGTGTTTTGTTATGTTTTGTTCATCGCACAATCCTCCAAGCCAATCTTGGAATCAAGAATCCATAATTTCAAGAGGTTGGCATGGGTCAAAACCCTGGTGCCCTATAGTTCGCGCCAAGCTAGTGCTCATCCCCAAACATCTTATCTTGTTATAAGTTCTGGTCTATCCCCAGGTGGGAAAAATCCTCATCCATCTCCCATCGACCCCCATAGGCCAGCAGTATTCACCGAGAAACACGCGGTGTTCTTTTTTGGGGTGCCCAAGAGAACCCGTGAATCGCTAAAAATCATGGGTTTACAATGAATCGTTTACAGTAAACATATATGGGATTAATGGTAGGCTGGAGTTATATATTAGCTAATGTTATTAGCTATTCAGCTATGTATCCCATTCAATGAAGGTTAAACCTGGCTAAATCAAGTTAACCTGCTTGCAGTAACTAATGCGATTTTTTTAAGATGTGGGGGGGATAACGATGGATTATCATTGCCCAAAGACCCACAAGGGACCCACTATCTGCGGCGCACCTTTCCCTCGGACATCAGAACCTGTAGCGCTAAAATCATCGTTTTGCCAAGGGCACGTTTTCACGTTTTTATTTGGGATTCACATGGTTGCTACTCCCTTCCTATCGTTGCCCACCTCGAAACCCTAGTCTACTAACCCTAGGGGCCATGTGGAATAATTAGTACAGTTCATGGTATTTCATATTGCATTGGCTAATTTGACTCCAATTTGGCTATGTGTCTCCCCATTAAAAACCATGTTGAAGGTTCGTAAAGCAATAATAAACCACCCATGTCTCGATGTTTTATATATCATATATAAATTATACCACCCAAGAAAAATGCCAAAAGAAAAACAAACAAACAGAGTTTCTATGGTAGATCCTATTTGCATCTATTTGCGTTACTAACATATCTAACAATGTCATCATTGAACCATGATTTTCGCTTCAACCATTGAAGCCATCAGCTGGTCGCTGTAGCTGAGTACAGCGACCACACGCTGAAACTTCTGCAGCCGCTCGGAGTCCGGCTGCGTGGTCTGGGCGACAAGTGGGGCGAGATGGTGAGTCGTGGGGAAGAAAAAAATGATGTCCACAGTTTACACTAGATTTACGAAATGTTCTACAATCTCATATGCACAATTATATATTTAAAAAAAACATATATGAACATTATAATTTCAATTAATGTTCTTAGATATCCGTGCTATTATTTTGTTCATGTGTCCTCATACATTTGCAATTAGCTGTTAAATGCAAGCAACCATGATAGCCTGCAAAACTATGACGGAGAAATCACAGCGACAATGAAACAAAAACACAAGTGGAACTGGAAGGGTCCCCAAACTATGATCTGAAGTCACTGTTCAGCTTTTGGGGCTGGTTTTGGATTGGATTAAGGAATTGCAGTATCATCAATCATCATGTCATCGTCTTCATCTTCAGCATTATCACAAGCATCATCAGCAAAAGCATGATCATCAACAACATCATCATCAGCAGCAACACCAGCTGCAGCAACATCACCATCATCATCATGGTCATTGTAGTCATCATATTCATGATATTCATCAGTCTATCATCTATCATCGATCATCTATTATCCGTCATCGATGGTCTACTATAATCTACGTTTCCTATCTGGAAAACACACTACCCGCAGAGGGCACCCGATACTCTAGATTGGCATCGTTCTACAAACTTTGATTGCGATGAACCATCACATCCATCATTCTGAATAAAACGCGAGAATGATGCGGAGAGGGTTTGTTCGTCATCTAAAGATCCTAAGTTCTTGCTCATCTTGCACATCCAAAGTGATATGAAAAAAAATCAACACATTCTGAACACTTAACCAGAACACGTCGACAGCATTGGTCAAAACAAACAAAAGTCTGCAACAACTGTTGGATTTTGAAGCAGCAAAACTGCAAAACAGTCCTCACTCTCGATTTCCCTAGGATTTCCCGGATTTCCCCCAAAAAATGAGCTGGTTTTGAGCCCCACACCACAATGCAAGTGCGGCCTCAAGTGACTCAAGTTCGTGCATCGTCATACCAAAAGGGCCGTGGTTTGTCATAGTTATGTTATGCCGTCTTTTCTTCATCTGCTGTGCTGTGTAAATATTGTTCTGCAGTGTCATGTCGAATGGTCCTGAAACACGGCACCATTTGCAAATTACATTCCTCCTATCATTATCTGATTGCAGGTTCAACCCTTCAGATCTGATTTGTGATATGTGGTGAACATTTCAAACATTGGCTGCCAGTCAATTGCCATCATCCTCCTGACAAATTATGTAAATATAAAAAAAAAAATCACCCGGCAGGAACAAACAACAGTTGGGCAACGTACTCATGCTACCAGAACACTACCAGCTTGATCCAGCTTGTAGATGTTGCGTGATTGGCCTTCCAACGGCAACGCTCAGGAGGCAACCAGTCATCAAGGGACCGAGTAAGAGCTTGTCCATGATCACGCGAGCTGTTGGCCTCGGAGTTGAGGTCAGTCTCACCAAATGGATGGAAACAAACACATCATCCATACCCTCTGGTAATTTAACATAGCTATGGAAAATCACATTTTTTCATGGGAAAATCCACTATAAATGGCCATTTTCAATAGCTATGTTAAATTACCAGAGGGTAAATTGGAAGTTAAACAAGGCTGAGGATGCTGTTGAAATGCCGGGAAACCATGGGAAACCTGCTGTATATGTCGGATTTCACTGGGCAAATCATCTATACGAAAAAGGGCTTTACCTTTACCAGCTTTGAGTACCAAATCGGGTGCTCCCAGTGACTCTGGTTCTGCTAATTCTTCCAGAGATGAGTGATTAGTGTAAGTGTTGGCCCTGTGCATGAACCAAATAGTCTAGGGTCCTGTGCATTTTTGTCACCAGGGATCCTCCAAGTCAAGTAATTACCCCACTTGATATACCAGGGTGAAACACAAAATGAGACAGCCCCTTTAGCCTAAAGCTTGACCCCAGCGACTTCCGGTCCCGGTCCCCGAACGCATCCACTGAGGCGAAGGGATCGTCCATCAACACCAACCTGGGTCATCGGGATGGTCCAAAAGTATGAAGGGTACTTGGATGGTTCTTAAATAACCAAATGGTATATTATGATATATTAATATTATATTATATCTATATTATAGATGGTTCTAGGGATGTCTCTTTCTATTGTTTGATCTACAAATATACTGGCAGATACTGGCAGGGGATCAGCCTTCCCTTGCTGGTGCAATGCCAAGATCGGAGAATCCGTGGCATCCGTGATGCCCCGTCAATAGTGATTTCAACCCGTCAACCCTTGGGTAAATTTTTGTATCAAACCATGTATATATATATATATATTATATGTATATATATATTATATATGTATATATATATATATTATATGTATATATATATATATATATATTATGTATATATATATATATGTGAAACCACCAACCAGCTATGGCAGCTATGCTTCGTAGGGCCGTAGATTTTTTTGACCAAGCCACTTGGAACTCAAGTGGTAACCAGCTCGAGCCATTGAGACCTCAGCCGGCTTTCCTCAATTCCCAAGTCTCATGTTGGCTGTGCTACCCGGGACCCGTGTTGCTTTGATTCGACGTGATTGACAAACAACTCCCATTTTCTTGATTTAGTTACCAAGATTCAATGAGTAGTCTTTTTTTTGTCAAGTTTTTAATAGTTTTTAGGTGTTTTTTGTTGATAATGTTTGATGGCTGATTCGCACTCTCGTATAGTCATGACCATATATTCTCTGTATACTATATACATTTGTGTTGTTCCTCTACCTCTCTTGCGCTATCCATGAGTAAGTATTACATATTTTGTATCACACCATGTTTCATCATTTGTTCATGGGTTAAACACGTGTTTCATTGGTTAAACAACACTGTTCATCATCTGTTTCGCTGGTACAATTTAAAATACAGAGGTGATTGAGGTGATGTGGTAAATCCTGCTTTTTTATCCAATAAAGATCAATTACGAACCATTCCACCCATTCCCAGCAGAGGTTTATTGGGTTGACCGTTTGCCAAACCACACCTGAAGAGCTCTTCAGCTCCGTGCGATTCCTGTGGGTACCGACGCGTGCCTTCTGGCCACCCGACAGGGAGATGCCACGGGCACCGATGGGGACCTGGTCTCCACCTGAAAGAGCGGCAGTTTTTTGTGCGGAAATTCTGGTGCTATTTTCATGATCAAATGTGTTAAGTTCTGAAATCAGGGTTTCTAGATGTTATAAAAGGAGTATTTAGTATCAGGATGGAATTATAAACATGAGGACTGGAACTATTAATAGATTTAAACAAGTCATGTGAAATGAATTGAAATGATGAAGGAAACAAGTTCAATTGATTAATTTAAGGGAAGATTGAAACCCGAACCCCTATATTATTATATTTAACGGGCAAAACATGGTTTCCTGTAGATTTTCCCTGCAACTAATCCAGTCAAACTAAATTACGGCAAGACGCTATGGTTTGCCCGCAAGGTTAGAATGGAGTTCTAATAGCAGTGTTCCACATGGTAGAGGGGAACCATTACTTAACTACTTAAACTGATCAAACGCGCAAATTTGCCCACATCAAGAGGTCCATGACCGGTTCAGGAAGAAACATCATCAGAGACAATCATCCAAATATATATATATATATACACGCATATATATGTATATATATATATATATTCTATATATATATATATTATATATATATACATATTATTTATATATGGCAGATACCATGTTTTTTTTAAGAGTTGGGCAGTTGGGCACTACACCATTCATAGGCCGCGGGATCACCCACCTGGCAGCACTTTAAGATCTTCTCCCAATGAGGCGGCGCGCAAGGCGTCGTCATAGCCTTGGGGAAAAAGCCGATGGGACACCAGCGAGGACCGGGCTTTCCCGTAGGTCACCTCAAAACAAGATAGCTTATGGATGCTCATACCCAAAAAAATGATCTTTTGTGATGAATTTTAGTGTGCATTTTAGGTTTTGAATGTTTTGAGCCATCATCATATTGAAATATATGAATTAAATTATGGAGACAATTCATTGGAAGAATATGGGTCAAATCATGCGCGAACATCCGCAATGATGAGCATATAATTATGCTGAAGGAAACCACTGGTTCCAGCAAATTTAAACATAATTTATTCACAAATTTGTTCAAACACGTTCCAAATGGTCAAACCAACATGTTTAAAACAGATCTATGTCTATGTCTATGTCTATGTCATTGATTGACATTTCATATTGGTCGGAGCTCGGTTGATGTTGGGCCCCTGGCGAACTTGGTCGAAAGGTTGGCCAAACAGAACATTCTCCTGGCGCGAATCTGGCAACCCATTACCAGCTGCACGTTGTGGCAGTTGCCAATCCTTTCATCCTCAAGTGCCATGCTGAGAAAGCAACACGAAAGTTGTTTCATGTTGTTTCCGCCTCAAAAATGAAGGCCTACGGCCTCCTGGCAGTACGATTGGTGGTTTGTGAAACTTTGGGAGCAACCAAATTGATGACCTCCTAGGCCCAAGTCTCCAGCGTGCCACGGGGCTCACTTGGTCCTTGAGGGTCCCTTCGGCGATGTGAGGAAT